ATGTTGGGTTCTTAATGTCTTTAAATTAATTAAAGTTGAGTATCAATAGACTGAATGTTAAATCTGATAAACATAATCGTGGCAAATCGATATGTTATTCAGAACCGTCAATCTTAATGGAAAAACGATATAAAACTAAAAAACGTGTGTTAAATTTAAAACCTGGTGATCTCGTAAAGATTCAGATTCCTGATATTGATAGGCTAAAAATGGGATAGACGAGCATTGCGACTAATATCAAGTTGGAAACAAGTTTGGAATTTTGGATACATGGTTTTTAGCAAACGAATTAGAACCAATGAATTTCCCGAACTTGATGTAATTTCAATGGGTTTCTTTACAAAATGCCGGTGCTCAACAAAACTTAACCCAACCACTAAATATTACAAATGAAACATCCAACCAAAAAACTGAACAAGGGTTTAAAAAATTATGGCTGTCATTGTAATAAACCAAAATTTTAAAGTAGGAGTTGTTTTGTCGTAAGAATAATGCTCTTTGTACTTTTTGTTGTAGTTGTATTCGCTGAGATACATGCAAAAATCATACAGTGTTTAGCAGTTGTTTAATCTTCAACATGTGGATTTTAAAAATTGTAATGGAAGTTAAATACAATAATTAATAAAAATAAATTTGATTTATGTTGCGAAATTTTGGTTTTTTTTTTTAATCGATACCAATTAAAATATGAAGTACTTTAATTTACAATTTCGAAGCTATGTACGTCAATATTTAATTGACGGGAATTTGAAAGTGACGTCTAACATTATAACCATTATTGTTATTATTATTATTATTATTATTATTATTATTAACCTGTTTTCTATTCCGACGAGACACCACTCTTCTTTTTTGTTGAATAGAACCACCAACAATGACGCTAAAATTATTATCATTGTCATTATCACTGTCATCATCATAATCACCATTATCATTATTAACACTATTATCATAATAATCATCGTTGTTATCATTACCATCATTATTAGTGTTGTTGTCATCATTAGAACCTGTACCATCATTAGCATAATTAATTGCGAAGGACGATTGCATAGCAGTCGAATTTTCATCAATTGCAGAGGACGATTGCGCAATCAAATCATTATCTAAATTTGAACTATTTTTGGGGTGTTTATTCAAAATTCTGGTAAGCTCATCTTTTTTCATTTTTATCTCATTATTTATTTTCGAAAGATCATAAAGAATACGTTCTTTTTCTACTTTACACTCTGAAATATCTCATCTCTAATTCCAGAAGAATAATTAGAATAAGTTTGAAGCTAATATATAAATACAAAATAAATGGTTTACTTACTATTTTATACTCATTAACTACATCGTTCCAATAATCCTCGAAATTATAACGTTTTGTTCTTCACTGATCTATTATAAGAAAAGCATTTATTATGTTAACAGTGTATAATTTTTTATTTAGTGGTGAGGGCATACCAGAAATCAAATGATTTATAGTATTGATTTATAGTATAAAAAGAGAGAGCGAGAGAGCAAAAAAGCAAAAGAACGAAAAGCGAAAAAGTGAGAGAACGAAAAAGCGAAAAAGCGAGAGAGCGAGAAAGTAAGAGAGTGAGAAAGCAAGAGAGCAAGAAAGCGAGAGAGAGAGCGAGAGAGAAAGACCAAGAAATCAGATAATAAAAGACATGCCCAAAGAAAGACACATAATCGATTCTTCCTCTAGAATTAGCAGACCTTTACTAATAGCAAAGTTAGGGTGCCCAAATAGAGAACTTGGGGCTGGTTACCCAAGTTGTCATACCCAGTAATTCTCCTAGACGTTTCAAAGCACACTAGAAGTTACCCTCCTTGCAAAATAAAAAAATACACACCATTTCTTCTAAATCTTCACCAAGTTTTCTTGTTTCTAGTAAGAAATTACTAACCCAGATGGCTTTGAGATCCTGTCTGCGAGAAGTAGCTGAAGTAGTAGTGATGATTGTGTCTCGACAACGGTGTAGAAAGCCCCAAAGAGATTTGTTTCTGCTTCGCGTCAAATATGACGTAAGTTCTTCATAACCAGAATATTTTTGTTCAGAAGACACAATATAAAAAAAACTTAGTAAAATATAGATTTAAGGGTAGGGTATAACTATTTTCAAATTCATATAAAATAGATTGTAGACAGGGACCCGGAAAATTTTGGAAATAAATTTTTCCAAATTTTTGAGCCTAATCTTGATATTTCCAAATTTTTCGACTTTGGCCAAATTTTTTCAAATTTTTGGCCAATTTTCCAGAAAGCATATGATCTGACCAATAAAAAATGAGACAATTAGCATGTGATCTAGCCAAAAGCATATAAATATCAAATTTCATGTGGCTTGTTCTTTAAACACAATACACAATAGAGTTTAATAATACTCTACTACTACAAGGTCTTTTGACCAAAGTTGTACGAAAGGGGAGAAGTTGGTGTTGGTGCTTTTTTTTTGAACACGCACAAATAAGAAAAAAAAAAAAAAAAGCTCCCAAACGAATCACTGCTTATACCTGTGCGCAAGAGTTTTCGGAGCACTTTGTCTTGGATTCCAGAAAACTTATGTGCCAGTTTTGTAACCATAGTGTTAACTATAATAATAAATCCTATATTACAACACACATAAATAGCAAAACCCACCAAAAAAAATGGGAAGCTTTCTTAAAATCCTCTCAACAAACATGACAAGAGTGTCTTCTGTTGTCTCTAACGGTCGCTTGCAAAAAAAAGAAGTTGTATGTGACCTTCTTACCACATAGGTTGAGGCTAACATACCTATAGAAAAACTTGACAAATTTCATGGGTTTTTGAATACATATTGCAAGAAAGGTGGTGCCATACCTGCGTTAGATACCTTATGTCGCTCATACTTACCAAGAATTTTTCAAGAACATTTAGAAAATTTATATAGTATATTTAGTGAAATGCCTGTTGCGATAATCATTGATGAAACAATGGATTGTAAGGAATGAAATGTTGTTAACACATTGTTTTCTTATCATGGAACAACTAAGCTTGTGTCAGTTGATTTTTTAGAGGCGGTAAATTTTCAACAATGGGTGGGCTTATTTTGCGGCTATTAACAAAGTGGAAAATTTCTTTTAATCTCCCGAAGTTAATTGCTTCTGATTCCGCTTCTTATATGAAGAAGTGTTATCGTAAAGCCTTAAATCCTGTAATGAAACAATTGAAACATAATACTTGTTCAGCCCATATTGTAAATTTAATTGGGTAAATAATAATTATGGTATTTTTATGGAATTATTATTTATTAGTTGTATAATAAAATATTAATAAATTTATATATTTATTATTTTAGTGAATCATGGTTATCAATTTATCACTTCAATGTTGTTAAACTTCTAATAGCAAACATAAAAAAACATTTACATACGCCAAAGCTCGCAAAGCCCGATATATGCGTTATCTAATATACCATGGGTTAAATTAACAATCAAACCCATCATTAAAGTTCATGCCTTTACCTGTTGCTACATGTTGGAATACGTGGTTTTGAATAGCATTTTACGTCTATGATTACTTGGAGTATATTGAAGGATTTTACAAAGAGGAGGTAAAAGTTGAATCATCCGAAGCTGTCAAAAAAATTGTAGACATTTTTAGCAACCATAATAAAAGTGGGCGAGTACGCATTTATCTGGCATTTATTCAGCATTATGCTGAAAAGTTTATATCTGATCTCAATTTTTTCCAGCAAGAAAATGAGCCTGTGATCCCGTTTGTTGAAAATCGAATTCAACAACTTGAAGTTTACTTACAAAATGGAAATTCTAGCACGAATTTTGGGGATAAGGTTAATTCTTGTATTACGAATCTTGGATCAGATCCATTTGCTTTTAATAAGGTATTTCAGTTGGCTTTTGCTACCGCATATTTAAAATTTAATAATCACTTTTTGCAGCATCCCTCCCGTTCTCTTTTTATTGCTATATAAATTTTTGATCCTCGGTTTGTTAAACTTACTATTTCTAATCAGAATATTCAATTCAAATCTCAGAATTAAAAAACCCTTCTATTGCTTTATTACAAGAATGGGCTTTTTATTGTAATTTGGATCTAACTTTAGTTGATTTTAATAATCTAAACGAATTTTGGGATAAAATGTCTATTTCACTTCCTCTTTTAAATAATATAGCTTTAGTTTATATTTGGTTATCTATTTCTTTGTGTGCTGTAGAAAGAAGTTTTTCTATATATAATAATCTTTTAGAAAGTGATAGGCAAAATTTAAGTGAAGAATCACTGAAAATGTTAAACATGCTATATTTCAATCAACGTAACTAATAAATTTTACAATTAATTGGTTAATAATAATTTTTTTTTAAATATAAACTAATCCAAATAATTCCAAATATTTGAATTTTTTATCCAAATTTTATCCAAATATTGGCCAATATTCAAATAAATTTTTGCAATTTGATATCCAAAATTTTCCGGGTCCCTAATTGTAGATCAACTTTGTGTAACCAATATTATATGGTATCATATGATTTACATGTAAACAACACATGATTTGACCAATCATAATTAGCAATTATTTGTGTAATCAGGGAAAAACATAGCGTCCAGGGAAATTTTTAGTTATATGTAAAGTTAATTTTTTTAAAAACAAAATGTAGTGTAAAACTTTATTAT